TGTAAGTTTAAATTTGTATAATACTATAACGATTAATACAGTGACAAATATTATGATCTTTAGTTTTTAATCATGGGTGATAATAAAAAACAAGAAAAGAAAGCAACCAGAAGAAAAAGCATTTCACTGGAAACTCAAATGCAAGTGATTAGAAGATTAGATTCTGGTGAACGTCAATCTCAAATTAGTGCTGCATTGATTTTGGCAACTTCAACAATAAGGACAATTCTTAAGAATAAAGAAAAAATACTGTCATCGGCAACTGCAACTACGTCAAGCTCTGCAACTAGAATTACCCGTTCTAGAAATAACATTATAGAGGAAATGGAAAAAAAAACGACTGTCTATATGGATTGACGACGAAATTGAACGCAATATGCCATTAAGCCAATCAATCATAATGCCTTCTTGACAAAAAGGCAGAAAATTGGAAACCCAGAATAGACTGAATGATCTGACTGAGAATTTTATTTGTTTTTAAAAGTATATGCGTTTATATTGTTTTTATTTTTGTAAGAAATAAATGTTTGATTTTATTTTTATAAAAAAAACATTATTAAATTTAATGCCTAACCATTTTTTATCCGTCTTCCCCTAACCCCATTATTTACATGTTAAGATAGCCTCGCTTAGCGCTGTTTCGCATTACGCTCTACTTCGATGGAACGTATCCCCCGCGTTAAGCGGGGTCTTACTGTATATGTATATTTGTATATACTTGGTGAGGCCGATTTGAACCAAATAGGGAGGTGATCGACTACCAGTTATGGCAGTCTCATATACAAAATTTCAACGTCCTTCAGTAGGAGACGGATAGGTCACGCGGCGGTCTTGGTCACTTCTGTAGGTCTTAAACGGGTCTGGGTCATTGTTAAGCAACCGGGTCTTGTTTAAGCCGATCTCGGTCACTTCAGTAGGTCTTATACGGGACTGGGTCACTTCAGTATTAGAGCGTGCTCTGCCTTTCGGCCACGTTGCTGCTTTTAGTCTAAGCTTACTGTTCTACTCTCGTGCTTCTACATGACTGCTAATACACGCGACTGATCTTTAAATAAGGGCCAACACCGTTAGTTGACTACGTGCAGCTTGGGCTGATTAAATTTATTTTGCATTAGTTTAGTTTCATATTTCGTATTTTGAGTTAAACCCCAAGTGGAGGCTTATTGTACGCCCGACAGGGGCCATCTGTTAATTTTTTTAGTTGGAATAAAGGGTAATTTAATCCTTCTTTGGAACCTCTTACTTACAAGAACTCAGCGAATATTCGCTACACAGATCTTCAGTATTCTAGCTGACGAGGAAATCTAATTTAGCTAGGATATTAAGCAGATGGAATTAAAATCGTATTTTCGAAAACTTTTATGTAAGTGCTTGTATCATTGGCTTTATGTGTGATTCATTTGACATAGATTAATTTGGAAATGAAATAGTTTAGAGAGAAATATATTAAGCAATCTTTCTTCATAGAAAAGGGAAACTGCAAAATTAAAATGAAGAGCAAAAGGACAATTGTCAGTAAAGTTAAAAGTACGATTTACATATTTTTATCTTACAGGCAAGCCCATCTATAAAACAACGCGGTAAAGACAGTTCGTCCGAAGCGAAAAAGATTTATGTTTCATATTTAATAAAAAAAACTTGGCGGTATAAACGAAATGAGCTGTCCCTCGAAACAAATTTGTCTTTCGAATTTAATAAACAGGCTCAACGATTTAAAAGAAAGATGTTGTCATTAACCTAAATTAAAATATTTTTAGCTTTCACGCGGCAGTATTTTGTTGTGCGGCATAGCGTAAGAAAATTGAATTTTGACTTCAAACAATTCTGTTCTTAATTTACAAACTATGCGTTTGAAAGCAATAAACGCATATTCATTTCAATTATTAGTAATTATTAAGTATTACCAGAACACGTGGAATTACACTACCTGGATTCACTAAAATTTTTAACTTTCATAAAATAGAGTGTCTGTTTTTTTTTGTGCGTATGTATGTAATTCATGCAAATCTATAGGTTTATTACGAGCCTGGGTAAAGCGGTAAAGTCGCTGAACGCTGGTAGTTCGATCCGAGGTTCGAATCACGCGAACGGGCTGGCTGCATGGCTATTTCCCCGTATGTAAAGTGTACGAGCCAGTTTGCCTTAGTAAGTACTCCACGAATGCATTCCTCCTTTTAGACAGATAGCCGTCGAGGCTTTGCCGCATTAAGATACCTGTAAATCAAACCAAAACCAAACTTCTAATCGCCAGTTGTATCCATGTGCCTTAATGGCTTTTCTAACATTTTCCGACCTAGGGTCGAATCCAGGCGAAAGGGCTAGCTGCATGGACGTTTTCATGGTTTTCTCCATGTGTAACATGTATACAAGCCAGTTTCCCTTATAAAGTTCTCCGCGGACATCCCTCCTCTTAGATAGATAGCCCTCGAGGCTGCCGTAGTCACATAACCCAAACCATGAATTTTTGCACAGTTGACCTTCAAACCAACAGGAAGATAACTGTTTACATAAGACTTCGGAAACCCAATACACTCGGCATATATTTAGAATACACTCGGCATATATTTTTAGCATATATTTAGAATATAGCCCAAATTCTCTCGAAACGTATGATGAAATATGTAAACGAAAAAACGCCCATTTCGGCGTAATATAAAGTCTGAAAGCCTTCAGATTTTTTTTATTTAAAGGTATTCAGTCTTTATTAAACATTTCGTTACTCATATTTTAAATATCTTGCGAATTAATAGATAAAAAGTTTATTACGAATTAAAAAAAACCAGAAGAAATTAAACAAAAAATCTTATGAAGCTCATTAACAACAAAACGTCTTTTAATTTATTAACAACTAATTAATATGGGTTATTTAATTTATTAAAACTTTATTATATTGATTAATTTATATCATATTATTTTCTATTTTACAGTCATTACAAGTGTCACTTAGTGTTTTCTAATTAATTTTATTTTGCAATATCTGAGTACATGAAGCACCATCTCGTTCGAAATTCAAAATTTAATAATTATAAATAATAAGAATTTGCAGAAATAATCTTGTAAGTGATATTTCATATTGCACATTTTTTATTGAAAATAAATAATTACCAATAATTTCACGCGCATAATTCAAGCTACACTCATCCATATACTTCAAGCTGATTTACGAGTCAAACGAAGTTAATAATTGTTACATGTATTTCTTAAATTCCTTTTGAAAGCTATTAATTCTTAAGTAAAACTATATTTCCTTTTTACCTTTTTATCTGTTTCTTTTTTTTTAAAATGCTAAGGACGGACTGGTAAAAATTGTTAATATAAATATAGTTTTTATTATTAAATAATAATATTTTCCATTTATATACTATATATTACTACTTTAATACTTTCATTTGTAGAGACATTAGGATTTTTTTCGCAAGCAGGTAAGATGAAAAATGAGCCCTCGCCTTCGCTGGGATTGTAACCCCGGACCTATGATATACGAGCTGAGTGTGCTGACCATTACACCGCGAAGGCACGCTAGGAAGGCGGGAGAAATACCTTATATAGTACTCCCCCTGTTAAAGGGCAACTTGGGTTTTTAGGGGACCCAGTCGCCAAATCCTGGGTGAGGAAAATCATCATCCACCATCCTTTTAGTTCGGGCGCCACTGTAGAGATATTAGAGATATTAGGCTATTTTTTTTTTTTTTTTTTTAAGCAGGCAAGATGAAAAATGAGCATTCACCTTCGACGGGAATCGAACCATGGACCTATGGAATACCGGCCCAGCATGCAGAACCACTACACCACGAAGGCCCGCTAGGAAGGCGAGAGAAATATCTTTTACATTAATTAAAAGAATAGGTTTCAATAAATCAATAGAATAGGTTTCAATGAATTGGATGTTATAAGTTGGTTGAATTATTATAATGTTATAAGTCAGTTGATTGTTTCAATTAATCAACCTGCTTATTTAACACTTTCGTTAACAAGAATTGCTTAGGCATAAAGATAGGAATTAATGAATAAAGATCTCAACTTTTCTTTTTTTAAAATTTCTTTCTTAAAATGCGAATAAATATCATTCATTGAAAATTGTATTGATTACCCTAGTATTTCAACAATTACTGAAGCTGATATAAATTACGGAAGTAGTACTAAATATTACATGCTTTTGCAAGTTTGCACACTGCAAAAAGCAAACCGAAGACACAAATTTGTGACTTTGCATTTTGGAAGACTAACCTTGTGTATATGACGTTTAACAAATTTAAAGCAGTATTTTAATGAAATGTCACTCCAGGTTTCCGTCTTAAATACCATACAATTTTCCTTCTTAAAAATACGAATAAAAATCATTCTTTGAAAATTGTATTGATTAACCTAGTATTTCAACAATTACTGAAGCTAATATAAATTATGGAAATAGTTAAAAATGTTGCATACCTCTGAAATTTTGCACTTTGCAAAAAGCAAACCTCAGGCACAAAATGTTTGACTTTGCATTTTAGAAGATTAACCTTGTTTACATGACATTTAACTTGTTTACATTTATCAAATTTACATACTATATACAAATTTATATCTTATTTTAATGGAATGCCATACCGTTACCTTTAATTATGTACTTTTAAATAGCTAAGTTGTTAAAATATTGTATTTTCTGTCCCGTTAACTTCAGTATGTCTGCATTAAGTATGCAAACAGGTTTCAAAATCTCTTTCACAAAGTGCACATTTGCACAAATTCACAAGTGCACATTTTCACAGAAGTGCGCTTTCGCACAGACAAACAGAAACAAACAAGTAATAAAATTAAAATTTTCTTTAACATCAAAAAATCTGATTGGGAAATGCGAATTAAATTAAAATGTAAAATACACTACGTTAATGGAACTTGAATTATAATTGGTAAAATATTTCAAATAAAGAATCTATTAAAATGTAATTAAAATATGTAAATAACGATTGCTAACAGTTCTTAAAGAATGTATCATAAATCAGTAAAATTATACGTACTTCGCAATGCCAGAGAAAACTTTTGAAGTTGCAGAAAAGATCGTTTTGAATGAAAATGAGCAACACGCGCTAGCGTTATACTTTGGCTCTAATTTATTTTCTTTCAGTCTATAAAACTAACTGCGACCGGAGAATAGCAAGCGTCAGGAATTCTGTAATCAATCTGTTGCACTTCTCCGGTCGTTATGGGTAAAAGAGGGCCATCTCGCTACGCATGCGCATCACGGACCTTCGCTGACTGGACGATTAAACCAATGCCTTTTATAGGCGTATGATTTAATTAATTTGACAGCTGATGCTATAATTCTGCAAATCCTAGTCGCTGTTCTGCAAACAGGAAAGGAAAAAAAACCCATTTTGTCAGGAAATTTCGCGCAGTCACATGAAATAGAAAAAAAAAATGGACGGTTAATATATATATATATATCTATATATATATAATCGAAATACAAATTGAAAAGCTCACAAGTAATGTGACGTAAGACCTATTTGGTCTTAAAAATTTTTTGCGCAAAATGCTGCAAAAATCAAAATTTCTCCCTATTATATATATATATATTCTAGAAATTACTAAGCTATAAGGGCTTCTGCAGTTAAATTGGAATGTGCTGCAGCAATTTAGCGTCAGATTTAAAATTTTAAACAGGTTAATTTATAAGAAAATTTTCTTTTTTGACTTGCGTAGAACTGCATTTTTCCGACTGAGTAAAAAAATGGAAATAATTTAACGCAGGAAATGGGTAATATGTTTATTAAAATTACACTGAAAAAACGAATCTGAAAGCTTTCAGATTTTATATTACGTCCGAAGGGGCGTTTTTTTATTGTTTTGTGTGTTACCTTTATTTATTAAATATTATGTTCTTTGTACTTAAACCATAAAATTGAGTTCAACAGCAATGTCGCAAAATAATTTTCTAATGAGCTTATTTTAGAATTTCCGATACACAATTCCGCCGCGCTGGAGATAAAAAGGTCTTTTTCCCCCGGTAGAGTGTTGCCAATATTTGTTTTTAAATCGCTCAGTTTATTAATCAAAAATTCGTTAAAGTTTTACAAAATATGAAATCGATAATAAAACAAATTTCAAATTTGGGCTTTCAGATACCCATATTCGCAGTCGGATAACGGCATTCAAAATTGGATGGCTCTAGGTACCTTACATACATTTACGCTAGAAACATACATACATTTACGCACATTCTTTATTATTTAATTTCTTTAAATATAATATAGGGCGATCATATTTGGTAGCAGCAACTTGGAAAGTGAATGGGGCATTTATAATGAACCAACGCAAAATACCAAAACGAAAATAATAGTCCTTCAGGCTCAGGCCACATTGCCCCTTTGGACTAAAAATTCAAAAAACAAATTTTAGCTCTTCGTAAGCATGTCATAAAGATATACATTTATTTGACGTAAAAAACTTCGTTTAACACATATTTTAGATATTTCTACACTCGAAATGCTACACGCTCTGCGTATTTTAATCGCAAATTAAAATCTAGTTGCCTAAAACAAGGAACTTTTGAAACATGCATATTATTTAATTAGCAGATTCAATCTGCTGAGTGGTGTCATTACCATTATTTGGTCTTGAAATCTTTTGTCGACTAGAATACGAAAACTTATAATTCAATATGATTTCCGTTCTTACTTTATTTATTGATGTAAATATCATCCTAATGAATTGAAGTTTATGAAAAAGATAAAACTAAGAAATTATGTAACTTAGTTTTATCTTTTTCAATAACTCTTGTTTAAATATGAAACTGTATGAGAAAATTTAATAGGACATGTCAAATTATTCTGAACATCTTCAAATTTACGGTGTCCGCCGATAACATCGCAGCAAAATCATCGCGGGCGAAAACATCGTGGAGAAAAAAACGCAAGGCGAAAACGTCGTGCTACAAAACATCGTGGGCGAAGACATTGCAAAGAGAAAACATCGCAGTTCTAAAACATCGTGGTACAAAACATCGTCGTCGAAAATAAAGCGGTTCAAAAACTTCGCAGTTTAAAAACATCGTCGTCAAAATATCGCGGTAAAAAATAAAGTATCGACAAATTATCGCAGGACAATAACATCGCAGACCTGCTTTTTTCAGGCTTTAATAATTGTAAATGGATATTCTCATAATGATTTGTGAGCGCGAGATGGAAAGAAAGATAATTTTTGCTTTCATATTTTTTATTAACTAATAAAATTTTGCTGAAAAAGTAAGAAGGTAACTTAAGAATAAACTGAAACAGAACAAGAAATAATTTTCATTATAAGAGTATTAGATTGACAAAAGTGAAGAAAATAATCTCACAATTAGCAATTTTTTATAGATAAGGTCATGCAGTTACGTAGCTTCCTTTTTCTAAACATTTTTAGATTATACTTTTAATGAAAAATTACCAGTAAAAACTTTATAAAAAATGATTTATTAATGATCTTTGTTACTTAACTATGTCAGTTTAAATTCTATTAAGTGCTATAAGTTGCCTTAATTTTCTATGCTTAAATTTCCTTCTTACGTTTCAGCAAAAATTTATTAGTCAATAAAAAATATGAAAGTAAAGATTATCCTTCTTTCCATCTTGCCCTCACAAATCATTATGGAAATATCCATTTACAATTATTAAAGCCTGAAAAAAGCATGCCTGCTATGTTATCGTCATGCGATGATTTGTAGATACTTTATTTGTTACCGCGATATTTTCGACGACGATGTTTTTAAACTGCGAAATTTTTTGAACCGCTTTATTTTGGACGACGATATTTTGTATCACGATGTTTTAGAACTGCGATGTTTTCTCCCACGATGTTTTGTATCACGACGTTTTCGCCTTGCGTTGTTTTCGTCCGCGATGTTTTCGGCTGTAACCTTTTTGTTCGTGAACATTGCAGTTATATCGTCGCGCTGGCCAATTACAAACCCCTATTTAATGGGCTTAACGAAAAAAAGGAAGAAGAAAAAAAATGAAATCTGAAAGAATTAAGATTTTAATAATAGGCTTATTATTAAGCATCTCTTTCTTCGCGCGGGCCCACCAGCGGCCGAGCGGTAAAGTCGCTGAACACTGGTAGTTCGGTCCGAGGTTCGAATCCCGCGAACGGGCTGGCTGCATGGGCGTTTTCGTGGTTTTCCCCATGTGTAACGTGTATACGAGCCAGTTTCCCTTAGAAAGTCCTCCACGAAAGGCATCCCTCCCCTTAGGCAGATGGCCCTAGTGAGCTTTGCCATAATCAAATACACCACCACCTTTCTTCGCGCTTACGCCATATAAAATTCAGAAGCAAAATCCCAAAATATTTAAAATTAGCATAACTTCAGAATTACTGATAGTGCGTTAATCTTTGCTGAACAATTTTTTTATATTCGCTATATTATTTCTTTAAAAACTATTCTCTTGCGCGGCCAGCTACATATAATAAGTTATATAAGAGAAGTAAAAGGAAAATTGTATAATGAATGCAATGAATCTAGTTAGCATATAAAAATACTTAATATTTTTCATTAGGCTGCTCGTGGTTTTAACACATTTTTGTTTAAATCAAGCATAGTAAGGAGTAGAAAAAATATTCTTAAGAATTCTGTTTTTTCCCCCTTTTAAATCGCTTAGATTTCTTTTCAAATTTTTCAGATTAAATTTGAAAGTAAAAAAGCTTAGAATTTAGTGAATGGCAACAAAATGGCGGGTGAAAAATAAAAGTATTTTATTTCCAGGAATTGCAGCACGTTGCTTTCAAATAGCCGAGATTGTTATTTTAAATTGAAAGATAAATATATTCCATTTTTTTAATGGCAACAAACTCACACGCGGGAGATAAAAATATTTTATTTCGAACAATGTTGCCACTTCTAGCTTCCAAATGATTGACCTTCTTGATAAGAACTTCATTAAATTTATACAAACATGAAATAAATCGAAAGAAAACAAAAACGCAAAAATCAACTTATGACAGCTTTCAAAGGCAAAGCAGTTCTATGACACTTGTTTCAGAAAATACACTCATCTAGAAAATGTTCATTATTTTTTTTTTTATATTTTTCACAATTTTACCAAAAATCATCTGAAAACTTTCAGATTGTCATTACGCCCAAAGCGACATCTTTTAACGTTTTGAATGTTACCTTTATTTACACTCATGTCCATAAATTAAGGATAATTCGGAGTCACGCGGAAATCGAACTCTAAAATAAATATATCACCTGTAAAATCACTACACAACATCTTCAAGAATCATATGCAAATTTCAGGAAGTAACCAGATGACACCGATGGTACGTCACAATGACGAGAGTGTAAGAGAATGATATATAAGGAATACAGGCAAAGAAGTAAAAATTGTTCGCAGGCGCTTTATAAGCATTTCAGTGCAATAACCGAATAGTTATGACACAAAGGACGCATTTGGATGATTTTATACGTGGTAGAATTATCGGCCGTCTGGAATGTGGGCGTACCCAATTGGAAGTTTCAGACGAACTTGAAATTGCCCAGAGTGTCATCTCCAGGCTTTAGCAACGATTCCAAGATGATGGTAATGTGAGTAGACGTTACAGCACAGGTCGCCCCAGAGTTACAACGCCGAGTGAGGACCGGTATTTGGCAGTTACTGCCAAAAGAAACAGGCGGAGCAGCCTCAGACCTGTCTCGTCAGCTCTCTTCAGCCACTGGTACGACAATTTCAAGGCAGACCGTGTACGGACGCTAAGGGCAGATTGGTCTATATGCTCGTAGGCCTGTCAGATGCGTTCCACTTACTGCAACTCACTGTCGCCTGCGGTTAGCCTGGAGTAGAGAGCACGCATTGTGGACACCTCAACAGTGGGCTTGTGTGATGTTTTCCGACGAGTCCAGGTTTAGCTTGCAGTCTGATTCTCGCCGGATTTTCATATGGAGAGCTCCAGGTACCCGTTACCACCAAGAAAACATCATTAAACGACACCGTTACGGTGGTGCAGGAGTGCTCGTTTGGGGTGGAATTATTCTGAGTTACAGAACTGACCTGCATGTTCAAATTGGAACCATGACAAGCCAAATCTATCGGGACGTCATTCTGCAACAACATGTACGTTTGTTTCGGGGCGCCACGGGCGCACAATTTG